TGGGGAACCATTGTAGGCTTTTGAGCAGAGATTTTCATAATCTGATTTTCATATTAAAAGATCACAAAGGATAAGAGATGGAAATGGGATATATATGGAGGCAGGGAGAGCAACTGGGAGATTTTTTTACAGTCCAGGTGAAAATTCACAAGAGGCTAAATTAAGGCATTGACCCACTGTGGGTGGGAAGATGGTGGTGATGTCAAGAGCCAGGAAGGATTCTGTAGTTATAACACTTAGTTGGGTCTTTCTTTTTAACTGCTGTAATCTCAGTGCTTAGCACAGGGTTTGGCACATAGAGAGTCAATAAGTATGAGTGAATAAACTTGCGCTCTACTCAGGATGGAAGAAGGAAGAGGTTTCTGGTCTGGGTAAATCAGTAGATGGTGCTGTTATCAAACTGAGAGAGAAGGTCAGCCAGGAAGAGGAATGAAGAGTTAGTTCAATTCCGTATTTAAGATTTGAAGTGCTTTTGAGACATTTGAGTGGAGGTACTGTATGACTCTAGAGCTCCAGAAGAGTTGGCATGGAAAGGTAGATCTGAGAATCATCAGTGTACCATGGGAGTGGATGACATTGTCCGGAGAGCGTATAAAGTAAGGAGAAAAAGAGAAGTCTGGAACCCTGGGGATACCAGCACGTAGGGGTGGGTGAAGGAAAAGGAGAATGAGGAAGGATGTTCAAGGAGTTAGAAGGAAAACCAAGACAGAGCAGTGTCCCTTAAGCTAAGGGAGTTTAGTTTCAAGAAGGTCAGGGCTGTCTGCTGTCTGATGCTGCCAAGAGGTCCTGAAAGTACCATGCTGCCTCTGTACAGCAGGGATTTTTGTCTGTTTTGATCACTGTTGTATCCCCAGCACAGAATAGCCTGGCTCATAGTAAGCGCTCAGTAAATAACTTGAATGAATGAATGAATTTGTTGAAAAGGATCCGTTGAATTTAGTTGCAGAACTACAGGCCCTTGGTGAAGGCATTTTCAAAGGAGTCATGGTGAAGGAAGCCAGATTATAGTGGACTGAGGAGTAGAAAGGAGGTCAGGAAGTGGCTACAAAGAGAGGACTAAGGATGGCCAACTTCATGAGCACCTCTCGTGTGCTGGGCACTGAGCTAAGCACTTCACACGCTTTAACTCATTTAATCTTCTCAACAGCCCAATGGGGTAGGTACTGTCATGATCACCAGATGAGGAACCTCCAGCTCAGAGGGGAAATAACTTGCTCAGGGTCCCACAGCTAGGAACTGTTAGAACCCAGATTTGAACCCAGATCTGTCTGACTTTGAAATTCAGCACTGAACTGCTCAGGCTCCATTTCCTCTAGAGTTTCTTTTGTAACTGGAAGGAGAGAGAAAGAGTGACTGTTTGAGATGACCTGGAGTCAAGACTAGGAAGACTTGCAAAGATTTTAATGCTGATGGGAGAGAATCAGCGAAAAGAAATAATTTGAAGATTTGGGGGGAAAGGGAGATAACTTATACAAGAGGAGCCTGAGGTGAGTTGCAGAGCACAGGTGAAGGGAAGCCCCTTCCACCAAGGTAGGAAAAGGAGACGGTAAAGACCAGGTGTGAGTTGCAGGTATTTTTGTCAGGGAGGAGCAGGGAAGGTAGAGGTGGATGATTGCTGATTGTCAGCTGAGAGTAAAGGAGGTTGTGATCCAGTTATGGACTTGAAGAAAGTGGTACCAGTCTGAAATAGCTGTTGCAGAGAATAGAAAAAAGCAGTGGTGGAGAAGCAGATTTTCACGATTGGCATCAAGGGCCCAGCCAAGATGAGAGACCAGGATAGGTGCACGGAAGGCAGATGTTAGATTGATCCAGGTTGAAGTTTTTGCCCACTGTGTGCAACCGAAGACAGGGACAGGCTGTTGAGAGTATTGGCTAGATTGTGTTTGAGGTGATGGGTCACCACATCTAGGGCAGCAGTGAAGGAAGTGAGGATGGGAGAGGATTGAGAACAGAAAGGGAATGGAAGGATCATAGTACTGGCATCTGGACAAAGTACAACAGTGGGATTTTGGTAGTAAAAGGGTCTAGGATTCCCTTGTTCTCGAGTTCCACATCCAGAGCTGACCTGTGATGAATAAGGCTAAATTGTGCTGAAAAGGGGGCACAAGGGTAGAAGACTAACTGTGGTTATCTCTTCAGAGAAGAAGAGGGGTGCCAAAGATAACCTTTTTTTTCTTTCTGCTGTAAACACTTCTGGGCTGTTTGAATTTTTTTAACTTCTTAAATTTAAAAAAATACAAACTTTTCAATGAACCCAAAGAAAAGAGCAGGCGTCCACGAAAGCAGGGGGATGAGGGAGCTGCGGAGACGGGAGCAGTGGTCTAGAATGGGACCCCGGAGTATGTGATCTGTCTGTGGAATCACGAAGTCCTGGCTCTGAGGAGCAGCTGGGACCTGGTCCCACCCTGCCATTGTTTATCAGGGAGGAAGTGGGAGCCCCGAGACTCGCTCTGCTTGGCAGCAGCAGGGCCAGAACCAGAACTAACCCTTCCTGATCTCCCAGCTCAGTGCTCTGTTTTCCATGCTGCTTCCTGAGCACTTGAGGCTTCAGAATTTCCTGCTGTCCCGCCCGGGCTCATTGCGAGCGTTCCCGTGCGATTGCTGGTGAGCAGGCTCTTTGCCAGACCCTGCTTCCCACACCTCAGTTCTTCCCAGCGCAGGGTGTGTGGGTGTTTGTAGAGGCGGCTGGCTTGTCCCCTGCCTATTTCCTGTTCTCTTCAGAGTGGCAACTTGGAGGCGGAAAGCCACAGTGATGGTCTCTATTTACATCCTTTAAATGACCCAGTGTCCCTCCTGTTTTGTCAGCTCTCACATCACTGTGTCCCCTGGTCCTTCCTCCTCAGAGCTTGTTTAAGCAGCAGCCATGACTCTGTGTCTTCATCAGCCCAAACCCACATGAGTCACTGAGAGCACTTAGGACGGGGCTTCTTCACCATGAGATTGGTGGTCAGGGGTGGAGGGATGAGCCCTTAAATTAAGGGCATTGTTCTAGGGGAAAAATCCTTTCATTTTTGTCAGATCTTCAAAGGAGTCTGGGACCTTCCCCACTAAAAGACCATGCATTTAGAGAATGGAGGATAGGTGTGTTTTAGAAAAACAAAAATACAATAACAACAGCAGTTAGATGTTTTCTTGTCTTCTAAGTAAGTTCAGATAAACCTGGTGTTTGTGCAGCCTCTCTCGTCATCAGGACAGTGACCGTGGCAGTTGCATATGAATAGCTGTGATTTCTCCTCAGTTTGGTAGACTGAGGTCCAGAGGATTAAGACTATACAGCTCAGGACTTTTGTCCTCTTTTGCATGCCCGCCTGGGTAGATGTGCACATGAGCTCTCCACACAATGATATTGGGGCTCCACAATGTGTGGGGTCAGGTGGGGATAAGGAGACAAGGGATGAGGCCGTGGTTGAAGGAAGGGATATTCTTTTATAGTTTTCTTCACGCCTGCCTCTCAGTGAAGTCCTCCTTGGTCTTTGAGGTTTGTAGAGATGGCCTGTCTGCTTAGAGAGCTTGGGATGGCCCTGCACATTCTGCTTTGAGCGTGCTCTCTGCCCTGAAAGTCTGGTTGTCCTCCTGTGTTGCGGGGATGAGTCTTCAAGGTTTAGAATGGAGTTGTGAGTTGGCCTGTCCCAGAATAGCCTCAAATTCTCTTCTGCCTCCAGGGTTTAAGCAGGTATTAGTGTGGGGCAACAGGGTATTTACAGGCAGGGGAAAGAATATGTTTGCTCATTATGGTGGGAAAGGGCCCCTGATTGACTTGCTTCCTGGCCGGCCTGAAAGCCAAGATGCAGCCATGAGGTGTAGTGATCAGGAGATTTGAGCAGGCTTCCCTGAGATGGTTCAAGGCGCCTGGGTCCCTTCTGCCTAGAGTTAGATAACATTTGGGATTCCAGTTTGGTTTTGAATCCTCTCTCCCTGCTTTTTGCCAGGCCATCCTACCCTGACTTTATAGTTCCATAGGAAGTCAGGGATGTTGTGGTGCCAGTGGGGATGAATGTGGCTCCAGAAAAAGAATAAGAGAGTGGGAGTTCACTGAGGTTCAGGCTTGGAGTGGTACAATCAGAACCACCCTGAAGGTCATGGAGAAGAACCAGTGGGAGGGTGGGAAGAGACAGTACATTCATGTTTTGGCTTTTTTTTTCCCTGCGTAGACTGGGATCTGTTAAACTATATTAGATAGTATATAGTTGTCTCCTACTGGGTGGCTTTCCGCTATTGGGAAGAAGCCTGCCTTGGACAGAGAACCTGTTTGGGAAGAGGAAGGAAGGAAGCAGGATGGGCTGGTGGCCACGTGCCTTTGCTGGAGTGCCCGCTAGGTCATCTCAGGCCTCCTTTGCATAGGAGATCCTCCTGTCATCTGCTTCATCTGCTCACATTAGCTCCTGAGCTCTTACAAAGTTGGAAGCTTTCATCTGGAGCCCTCCAGAGCAGTGCTACTTCAAGTGCCCATCTGCAACGAGATGAGAAGCATACGCACCAGAATGTAAAACTGTTCCCTTCAACAAGAAAGCCTTGTTATGAAAAATTGTTAGACCTAAACAGTGTGTTTGCTCTGACATAGTTGCCTCACATTCTGGAGTCATGTAAGCTTCCTATCTGGTGACCCACCAGTAACACCGTCTGCAGATCAGCAGCTAATCTGCAGACCACACTTGGACTAGCAGTACTCTAGAGCCACCTTTAGTTCAGAAGCCGTTGTTGAGGTCTTGGAATCATGTGCTTGGCCTCTACAAGTCAGAAACAGAGAGCCCGGTTACAGAGAGCTGCTGCCAGGTCAGTCATACACGGGCCAGGCGGGTTACTGGGGAGAGCGGAGCACGACCGAAGTGACCAAGTTGAACAGATGACTAGGCAGTGCCAAGGGCAGATCCGTCCCCTCCCCCTTACCACAGGCACACAGGCTGAAGGGACCAGAGCCAGCAACCCTTCTGTAGGGCCTTAGTTTTGCCTGTTGTTTCTGGTGGCAGGTCAGCCTCACTGAGTTCATCCTGTCCTTGCAGGAAAACGGCATATGTCAGAGAAGAATTCATTGGTTATCCTTGTTGTCACTCCTGGATGTGACCAGTTTCCTTCTTTGGAGTCTGTGGAGAATTGTAAGTACCACCTTGTTCCCTGTTCGAGAAGAGAAAGCACTTGTTTGGAGCTGTAACTCCAGATGGCCTGGTCTAAGTTGCGGATGCTACGCCTGGAGCCCTCCATGAGCGTGGGGACCAGGGCTCACCAAGTGCCCAGAGCCGTCAAAGGTGAATTTTTCCTATGCAGTCTAACCAGCATCTGACAGTTGGCTGTGAACATCACACTGGCTATTCACTGAGTCCCACAGGACACCTGCCTTCTGGACTGAATATAATCCCACTGGCATTTTAGGAACTTGTACACTTTGCTGATTTTCTCTAAGAGACTCTACCCTGGGAAGAGAAGGAGTTTTCGGCCGTTTGAACCGAGATGAAGTCAAGGCGTTGGTTCTGTGGCTGCCACCCGACCTCTCTGAGCAGCAGCATTTGGGGACGTCTCAGTCTGCAAAGCGAACATTCAGGTCTTGGCTTCTTCCTTACATTCCTGATGGAGTAGCTGAAGCTTGGAGACAAAAGGACAGGAGGGTGATTCCAAAGGCTCTGGGAATGTCATAACCTGGACTCACCCCTCCAAGCATCCCTCTCCCCTTCATACTTGGAGCTAAAGCCTGGCAGGAATTATGTTTCCGGTGGGGAAACTGACCCACAGGGTGGGTGGTGCTTTGTAGAGGAATCTGTACCCGCCTGCCCCTCCTCACACAGTCTTCCAGGGCCTGGGAGCCACTGGGTGACCACCCTCCCACTGTGGCCCCAGGCCTGAGTGCAGCCTTGCTTGCTCAGGGAACGCCTCCCCTTTGAAAGAAAAAAAAAAAGTTAGCTTTTTTTTTTTTTTTTTGGCAGTGCCGTGCGGCATAAGGGATCTTAGTTCCCCGACCGGGGATCAGACCCACGCCCCCTGCAGTGGAAGTGTGGAATCTTAACCACTGGACCACCAGGGAAGTCCCTTGTTGTTGTATTTTGTTTTATAATATATTGCATTTTTATTCCTAAATGAAAGAGAACTATCCATATATAACGGAAAAATCCACATGGGTGACAGCTTATCTTTTTTTTTTTTTGAATTTTATTTTATTTTTTTATACAGCAGGTTCTTGTTCATCTATTTTACACATATTAGTGTATATATGTCAATCCCAATCTCCCAGTTCCTCCCACCACCACCACCACCACCCCTCCCTGCTTTTCCCCCTTGGTGTCCATACATTTGTTCTCTACATCTGTGTCTCTATTTCTGCCTTGCAGACTGGTTCATCTGTACCATTTTTCTAGATTCCACATATATGTGTTAATATACGATATTTGTTTTTTCTCTTTCTGACTTACTTCACTCTGTATGACAGTCTCTAGGTCCATTCATGTCTCTACAAATGACCCAATTTCGTTCTTTTTATGGCTGAGTAATATTCCGTAGTTATATATATACCACATCTTCTTTATCCATTAGTCTGTCCATAGGCATTTAGGTTACTTCCATGACCTGGCTATTGTAAATAGTGCTGCAATGAACATTGGGGTGCATGTTTCTTTTTGAATTATGGTTTTCTCTGGGTATATGCCCAGTAGTGGGATTGCTGGATCATATGGTAATTCTATTTTTAGTTTTTTAAGGAACCTCCATACTGTTCTCTTGTTGTTATTTTCTAATCCAAGGATTTGCACAGAACATGTGATTGTAATCTGAGGGTAGAAATCCTTAACCAAATGGAGTCATTTCTGTCATTTCAGACACCCTGACCGTAAATGATGAGCAGTGTTTCCTCCTCTCAGAGACTGTCTGGGGCGCCCTCCGAGGTAACAAGATGGGGCTGACACTGGGAGAGAGAGAAGGATGATGTGGGAAGGTCGGCCCTGGTGGGGTAGGGGGCAGGACTAGGGGCCCAGCGAACACCCCCACCTTAGGAAGCTTGCTTTATGGACCAGTTGGAGTGTTTCCCCAGCTCCCTGAAGGGAGTATTCTTACAGCTGTCTCCAGAAGTTGACAGGTGTCAGCCTGTGCGGGGGCAGCCACTCCCCTGGGCGGGTGCTCTGGGGAAGCAGGGGGCAGGCAGCTGGGGAGAGAGGCCCACTCTGCCACAAGCACTGCTTGTTCAGCTCTCCTTTCAGACACATGATTGGAAAGGTTCTTTAAAAACTAGATCAAAAGGGATAGATAAATGTCAAAAAAGAGGTAAAGAGTGGTAAAATATGTAGAACTCTGTTATTTGGGGAGAAAATGAGAACTTTGCTAGCTAATGGGTGATAGGCCCCCCTGCCCTTCTTCTTGGCTTACTGAAAAGGTATTCGGTCCCTAGATACAGACTTAGCCAAACAACTCGACCGCTTCTGGTAAAAGGTCTGCTGGTGAACGATGAGAGAAATTCTCACTGAACTCCAAACGTTGTTTTGGTTTGTCTTTGTTCCCCAGCTTCTCCTCCCCTCCCCTGTGTTTTGGAGAAACAGCATGCCAACTCCCCTTTGTAGTTTTTGTGTGAGTGTTAACTATTAGGCAGGTTAAGGTAGGGGAGATCTGGGACCCCGAGTGCTAGGCGTCAGAGTCAGACTGGAGAGAAGCCCAGATGGTACACTGGAAGCCTGCCTCAAATGAGCTACTGAGTGACCATGAAAGTCTCACAAATTCTTAAATTCTGAAAATTTAGGATTCTGGGAATCCTTCACAGGGCTTCTGCTGGATTTTCAGAAGTGAGGCCCCAGCTGTTGAGAACATCTAGTGCTCTGGACTCAGCATGCCTGCCCTTGGGCTTTGCTGGAATCTAGGAGTCTGTGTCCAGTCTTCTGGGGCAGTTGTTGCCTGCCACACCTCAGCTCCCTATAGCTGGTTCTCTTCTCAGGCTCTGAAGAGGAAAAGTGGAGGCTTCTTTTTCTTCTAAGTCCAGCTGTGGACCCACAAGTTTCTGACTGAGTTTATGAAACTCAAGTCAATGATCACATTCTCACAATTCAGTCTGGGAGAAGTGAAGGGGCAGCAGATTGGGGACCCCTTTTTCTCAGCTCCCTTAGCTCCTGATGGGTATTATCCATGGAAAGCTTTAACCCCTTGTGAGCTGGCCTGTCCCTGCGTCTGTCCTCATGGGCACACATCTTGGCCTCTCTTCTTAATATCTTTGTAAATTCAAGGCTTAGGAAGTGTAGATAAGAGGCATGAGGGTTAGTGTATTGCTAGGAGGGGCACAAAAACCCCTCACGCTGCCACCTCCCCAAATAAAATACAGAGTAAAAATAGATACTGGCTTCCTACTATCCCCTTTCCGTAACTGTTGAGAACCATCAAGCCTACACTAGATCCCCTCTCACTGTGTGCCCAAGCACTATGCCGTGCCACATGGGAACCTTCCAAATGGTTCCAACTCTTTACCCACCTCCCTAAGTCTTTACATCTGCCTCTCTACTTCCCTGCAGGTCTGGAGACTTTTAGCCAGCTTGTTTGGAGATCTCCTGAGGGCACGGTGAGTGTGGGCCCTCAAAAAGGGCTCCTTTTAAATCTCTGGGGGACACACACACACACACAAAAAATCTATGGGGTTTGCTCCCAATGTTGAGAGTCCTGGAAATATCCTATTTTACCTTAAACAGAGTCCTGGTGGCTTGAGATGGCCCCAAAAAAGAGTATTCAAGGAGATATGGATGGAAACTGGTTTGGTAGATTTTGCCAGTTGGGGTATAACTTAGCTCCCCTGAGTCATTGTTTAGAAATGACCTTGAGACCACACTGCTTTGAAGAAAATATTAACAGTCAGTGAAAATTTGGAATGTGTGGGCTGAGTGGTATGTGGGACACCTGTATTTGGCTGGCATGGGACAGTTGCTCTCTGGACAGGTACCTGCTTATGGTCATTGAGGTAGAGGTGTGTGGTGTTTGTGGAGACAGTTACCCTGCAGAACAGTCACAGGTTGGCTTTTCAGGGATCTTGGAAGACTTTTCTCATCCCCCTCCACCCCACTGGTGAATTTCCTTTGAATCTTAACATGTTCAGTGTTTGGTCCACACAGTTCTATATCAACAAGACGGAGATTGAGGACTTCCCCCGCTTCCCTCACAGGGGCTTGTTGTTGGATACGTCTCGCCATTACCTGCCACTGGCTAGCATCCTGGACACTCTGGTACGCAGGCCTTAAGGCCTTCTTTGCCCTCAGGGTTCTGGGGTAATGGGACAACAGATAGATCAGGTGCCATATTCTTAAAGAGTTACAGAGAGAATGTGCATAACTTAATGAGCTCCCGGGAAAAATGTAAAAGATGACCTGCTCCAAGATTCAAAAAAATAACAAGAGTGATTTAAACCTACCCCATTTGGCTACTGAGGACCAATGTCCAGGCTATCTCCAGTGATGCAGGAAGTGGTTTGGGGAATTGACTAAGCAGAGCTAACTTTAGTTAGTACAAAGTCATAGGAAAGAGATGTTCAAAAGCCTTAGCTGGGGATGTTCCTCACTGTCTTGAATTTGATGGGCAGTCTTACCTGACAGTTGCTGATCTAGCTCACGTGTCTAACTTTTCCTTTGCTCTCCTGATGGAACCAAAGAAGTGGACACATCCACCAGTTTTGGCATCTGAGATTTATGGATTATGGGGCTACTAAATTCACAACAGACCTCACCGTTTGGATAAACACTAGTCAGACAACCCAAAACAAATGGCAGGAGGAAATATTAGTTTTCAGGGTATTGTGGGGCTTTCTGAAGACCCCAGGGTACCACGGAGCTGCAGCCCTCCTCTCGATGTGACCATAACTCATCCCCCAAAGAGGAGATACTACTTCTGTCAGCCATCTTTGCATGTGCAGGGTCTTCCCCTTCCCTCCACGCCAGGCGCAACCCGATGCGAAGGTTTGATAGGGAGAACCCGTGAACACTTAGCAGGAAGCTGGGCAGGTTGAGCCTGTTAACGTGTGTGGAGCAGGCTGCCAAGCTTGGGGCTGAAGCCGGAGAAGTTGTGCTGAGTTAACTGTGCATGCTCTGACCTACAGGATGTCATGGCGTACAATAAATTCAACGTGTTCCACTGGCATCTGGTCGATGACTCTTCCTTCCCATATGAGAGCTTCACTTTTCCAAACCTCACCAAAAAGGTATGCCTTAATTTCGCCCAGACCAAGTTGATGGCTTGAAGTCTGAACCTGGCTATGGCGCCCTGCTGGCAAGGACACCAGCTCTCCTCCTAACCAGCCAGTTTTAGGGACACACTGACATATAGGGGGCAGGCACTGCATTTGGAGTCAGGAGACCTGAGTTCAGGTCCAAACTACACCATTAATTTGCTCTGTGACCTTCAGGAGAGAATCTCTCCTGGTCCCATCTTCTTTTTATTTATCTATATTTGGTTAGCTGGGCATAAAAATTACCTTATTCATCTCACTGGCATCATGGCACTGAGATAAGACAGGAGATGTGATAGCTTGTGGGAAATTATGATAAAGTTCCTTGAAGACCCCTGATACCAAAGGGCTCTTGGTAGATTTTCTGATATCCAGGGGAGTCCAGAAGGCATTTTGAGTATCCTTTCCTCTGCCAGCCTTCAGGAAATGAGGTCCTAAATGGTGTTTTGTGCCTTTCAGGGGTCCTACAACCCTGCCACCCACATCTACACAGCACAGGATGTGAAGGAGGTGATTGAATATGCGCGGCTTCGGGGTATCCGTGTGTTGGCAGAGTTCGACACTCCCGGCCACACTCTGTCATGGGGACCAGGTAAGAATAATGTCTGGAGGTGGAGGGAGGCTACTGATTCCCCTCAACGGGACTTTAGGATATTGGCTCTTGGATGTAGCATGCCTCAGCCTTGGTCTCTGGAAGAATGTTTTCCATCAACTTTTTCCACTGGGAATTTAGATAGGCAGAATTTACTTTGGGCGAAGGAGGCTGCTTCTTACTATTAAAATATGGGCGGGGACTTCCCTGGTGGCTCAGTGGTTAAGAATCTGCCTGCCGATGCAGGGGACACGGGTTCGAGCCCTGGTCCAGGAAGATCCCACATGCCGCGGAGCAACTAAGCCCGTGCGCCACAACTACTGAGCCTGTGCCCTAGAGCCCGCAAGCCACAAATGCTGAGCCTGCGAGCCACAACTGCTGAAGCCCGTGCACCTAGAGCCTGTGCTCTGCAACAAGAGAAGCCACCGTAATGAGAAGCCCACACACCGTAACGAAGAGTAGCCCCTGTTCTCTGCAACTAGAGAAAGCCTGTGCACAGCAACAAAGACCCAATGCAGCCAAATAAATAAATAAATAAAAAGGGCAAATTCTTCTCAGACGTCCTTGCCTCATGATGCCCTTGTAGGTTGTTGTGCCCTAGCGTGGAAGAAAGATTTTGCCAGTTTTGCTGGATCAGGCTCTCTGCTTTTCTGCCCATAGGCTACGTGAGGGCAAACTTTGGGACCAAGGGTGACCCCTGCTGGAAGAGTGTGTCAAGGCAGGAGTATGTGTGTGACAGTTGTCTGTGTATGATTGTGGACATACTAGTATTTCTTTGATTGTCACTAAATGCTCATAATTACCAGTGTCTGTGAATGCCTGAGTGTTCCTGTCTGTGTGCATGTAATGTCTGAACGTGATTGTCATCATGTATATGACTGTATGTGGGGTCTGTGTATTTGTGACACTAGTGTGAGGTTCTCTATTGCCTTAGGTGTCCCTGGATTATTAACTCCTTGCTACTCTGGGTCTCACCCTTCTGGCACCTTTGGGCCAGTGAATCCCGCTCTCAACAATACCTATGAGTTCATGAGCACGTTCTTCTTGGAGATCAGCTCTGTCTTCCCAGATTTTTATCTTCACCTTGGAGGAGATGAGGTTGACTTCACCTGCTGGTATGAGCCCTGTGACCTTCCCATCCTGGCCTGATGAGCTGCCTACTCAGAGTAGAGGTTAGCCCGTGAGAAGCTACCTGTCTCAGGTGTTCCTCATCTGTCTCCATCCTGATGGCTCAGGTCTTTGGCCTTTTCTCTCTCCACCTACAGAGAGGCCCTACCTGATTTTGGCAAGGCTGTGAATGTGAAACTCTCCTTTCCTCCTGTCATAGCCTTGAGATATTTACAGAAAAACCAGCTCTGGGCACAGAATTGTCTTGGGAAAATCACGATAGAGAAAATCCCTTCTTTTGGCAGCTTAAAATAGTCTGGTTGAAAAGACAGGACACATATGAATTCGAGGCTAATATATGACAGTGTCTAGTTAGTATTATGTTGTAAGCTTCCAACCCTCAGATCTGCTTAGCTCAAAAGAGGCTCAGGGGCTTCTTGGCGAAGTGGGCACTAGCGCTGGATCTGAGGAAAGAGTGGAGGAGGGAAAAAACAAAATGTAGACCTTGTGGGGTAAGGGAGCTGCAATGGGTGACAGACAGCAATGCTTGTATCCAACTGGAATAAAGAATAATATTAAGGGAAAAGCAGACTATGCCCAGGGTGTGGGAGGTAAGAGACAGAAGCCAGAATCCAGTGTGCCGGAGCCCCAAGCCTAGACCTCAGAACCACGTGTCATATCCCAGAGAGATTGATATGTGTTCTCTTTGAGGATGAACTTGAAGCTCTTCCGATCCAGACTCAGCCTTTCTCAGCCTATGTCAGTGGCCCCCTTCATTTAACTTTGTTTAGCCACACCTCCCAAATTTGTGGCCTCTTGAGATCCTCAGTCGATTGGTTTTTCAGGTGAAAAAACGGAGTTGTGGGAGGCCAGGTGATACATCCCCGAGCTCTGGGCTTTGAGGATGTCAAAAGAATTAATCTTCATTTTCTTTTGGGATTCAGGAAGTCCAACCCAGATATCCAGGCCTTTATGAAGAAGAAAGGCTTTGGTGAGGACTTCAAGAAGCTGGAGTCCTTCTACATCCAGACGTGAGGAAGGAGGGAGGGAGGGCAGGATCCCTGGGGGTCAACTCCTGTGAAGTCCTCACTTTCCATAGCAGGACCAGGACCTGCTGGACCACTCTCCGGGCCCCTGAAGGGGTCCTTTGTCATGTCCTTTCGTTGGAGTGGTTGATTCCCAACTGGTCAGTCAGGAATGCGCCCCTAAGCAGGCTCAGCCCCCAGGGCACTGGCACCTGTAGCACAGAGCCTGTCTGAACTGAGCAGACATTCCCTTTACTCTCTAAGGCTGCTGGACATCGTCTCTGCCTATGGCAAGGGCTACGTGGTGTGGCAGGAGGTGTTTGATAATAAAGTAAAGGTGAGCCAGGGGCAGAGAGAAGGGGCCATCCTCGGTGCCTCCCCATGGTCTCCCATCCCTTCCCTGCTCCTGTGCGGGTACAGAGGTCTGAGCCCTGGGTGTGGGTGTCAGGGCCTCCATCTGTCTTCCCTCACTATGAACTGAACGAGTTATTTCTGCTGCTAGGTTACTTGGGATTCCTGAGACTGGCATGATGGGTTGGGTTTTCCTGCCTGTGTCATAGACTAGGATCTTCCAGGTCTGCGAGCAGGGCTACCTTCTCCTTCATTGTTGAGCACTAAGATCCCAGCTTCCTGCCACGTCAGGGGCTCTGCAGGAACCTCGTCCCGTCCTCAGAAGCATCTGGAGATGCTTGGACATGGTAGCTCCTGATCTGTTGAGTCTCCTGGGCCCCACTGCTTGTCTCCCTTAGCTCACAGCTGGTGTTACTATCTCAGTGTAGACAGGGAAGCTGCAGAAGGACTCGGGGAGAGGCAGCAGGGAGCTCTCCTAGGGCCTGTGGGACCCTCGGCCTCTGCACTGGGCTAGAAGCTCAGTTGTTAGGAGTCACAGAGAAATTCTTTGCTGCTGGGGAGCAGAGGCAACACACACCCCTTGGCCTGGGTTGCTTGCATAACACTGTGGCCTGGGAATCTCCTACTGCCCTTTGACCTTTCCTGACAGGTTCAGCCAGACACAGTCATCCAGGTTTGGCGAGAAGAGATGCCTGTAAGGTACACGAAGGAGATGGAACTGGTCACCAGTGCCGGCTTCCGGGCCCTGCTCTCTGCCCCCTGGTACCTGAACCACATAACTTATGGCCCTGACTGGAAGAATATCTACATGGTGGAGCCACTGGCATTTGAAGGTAAACAGGGAGCTCTCCTTGCTGCCAAAGGCGGCTGAATGGGGTACAGGGCGGGAGGCAGGAGATTCTGGGCTGGACATTGCAGGTCAAGAGACGAAATGACCTATCTGAGGAGTGGGCCACGTTGGGAAGGCGGTAGAGGCCTGTAGTTGCTTGTTTTCCCTCAGGTAGCCCTGAGCAGAAGGCTCTGGTGATCGGCGGAGAGGCCTGTATGTGGGGAGAGTATGTGGACAGCACAAACCTGGTCCCCAGGCTCTGGTAAGGGCTACCTGGGTACGTGGAGGGTTGGGCCTGTGGGCGTGGGCTCTCCCTCACAGGCTCAATCCCGTCCAGCGTCCCCCAGCTGAGCACCCTCCTTTCAGGCCTGGGAGAGAAGGGGCATTGCAGTGTTGCCCCTGTTTGTACGTAAGTCACCTCCCGCCTGACTTGCATATTTACTCCTCCAGCCCATTAGATGTGTCAGATGGAGACTGTTGTCCCCATTGCACAGATAGAGATAAGGAGTCCTGGAGAACATGTTGAAAGAATGTTGCTTTCGGGATGGCTTGCCCAGGATCCAACCCTGAAGTGCATGGCCCTGTGATAAGACTCCTCTATGCTGTCTCCTCAGAGGCTGCAGCCCCTCACCAAGTCTGGTTGGGTGTGTAGAGTTTACATTTTGAGAACAGCTGCTCGGCCACTGTTGTATCTGTGTTCACGACGCCTTTAAGGCGTACTCTGGTTCCCATGTGTTTGGGAGAGGAGGAGATGGGATCACAATCCCCATTTTGCTGAAGATAGAGCTGGGCCCTAGAAGTCCCTGTGAGCCCTCCAGCCAGCTGTCACTCTGATTAAGATGTTGATCACGTCCCTTGGCCCCGAGCTAGTCCAGGGTACCTAAACAAGAGGCTGTGGGTGTCCAGCACCCTTGCCAGGAATCCAGGGCCCAACCTGGTGCATGTCCCCTTTCCTGCAGGCCTAGAGCAGGGGCTGTTGCCGAGAGGCTGTGGAGCAACAAGATGTTGACCAACCTGGACTTTGCCTATAAACGTTTGGCACACTTCCGCTGTGAGCTGCTGAGGTACGCAGGCCATGGGCAGGTTGGGGGCTGAGGAACCCTACTGACAGGAGAAGAATACTGATAATAGCTAACACTTGCAGGGGCATACTGTGTGTGGCAAGCCCTGCGCTCAGCCCTCTGCCAGCATTGCTTCATTGAATCTTTACCATAACCCTATGAGGGGGATGTAGTTTTATCCCCATTTCAGAGGTAGGCAGCTGACGCACAGAGCAGTTAAGTAACTTGCCCAAAGTTGCTCAGAACCAGGATATGAACTAGGCTGACTTCAGAGTCTGCGCTCGTAGCCATGGCCATGATTTTATGGGTTCTCATGACACCTGTGCCCCTGTTAGGATGGGCCTGCGTAAGATGGTCATTTCCCTGATTCATTCACTTACTAGGTCTTGAGGCCCTAGGGGAAACAGCCTCGTAGAGAGGGGAGTCCCAGGCTGAGAGCCAAGCATGGTGGGGTCTAAACCTCAACTGTCTGTAATTTACTGGGCGACTTTGAGCCAGTTCCTTACCATCTCTGAGCACATATCTTATTTGGGTAATAAAGGAGGCATGCCTAGAGGTACCCTAAGGAGATTGGTCAGGTCCTGGAACTTGTGAGGCTGAGACCTAAGGATAGGATTTCATGTCCACACCCTGTGCATGGGCTGGACAGTGCCTCGGTCCCCCCCCTCACCACATTTACAGAGTTTTAGAGCCATTAATGGGGGCTCCGTGGGCCAGGAGCACTGGGCACCCCTTAGGCATCCAGCTGTTTTCTAAAGAGACTGAGTTATTTGGAGCTGGGGCACAGAAACAGGCAAGTTAGAAATACAGAGGTGTTCCTCAAGGTTCCGGGGTGTCCCTGTATCAAAATCACCTGGGGCACCTGTTCAGATTGCAGATTCTTGCCAACACACGGCCCCACCCCAAGCAAGAATCTCTGGAAGTGAGACCCCCCAAGGAATTTTGGTGTCTAGTGGCAGTTTGAAATCCACTGAACTGGGGGAAGGGGAGGCCATTGGTTGGGGTGGAGAAGGTGTTGCTGGGGCCCAAGACCGGCCCCCTTCCGAGGGGCTCATCTCGCCCTGTTTCTTTACGTCCTCTCGCAGGCGGGGTGTCCAGGCCCAGCCCCTCAGCGTAGGCTACTGTGACGTGGAGTTTGAACAAACCTGAGCAAGTACCCCAGGCACCGAGGAGGGTGCTGGCCCTAGGAGAGCGGTAGCGGGGCCAGGCTTCCACTGTACCCCCCGCCGGGGGACGGGGCCCCTTGCCCACGTGCCTGTGTGCCTGGAGACAAGGGGGCTGGTGTTGGTGCTGGTGTCCAATAAAGAGTGATGTGGTGTTTTTCTATAATGAATGTGGATTACCTGTGTGAAAAAAAAATGTGAGTGGCCCTAGGGTAAGGGAGCTGCCAGAACTGGCCTTCCGCCCCTGAGGGTGATAGGGCTCAGCAGGGCCCCAGCCAGGCTGGGCTCAGTATCTGCCCCTGGAGGGATCTTATAAGTTGAGGGCTGGGAATGAAACCTGTAGCCTTTGTGCTGTCCTGCTCCGCCTGAGTTATGATGCCTCTCCAACCCCACACATAGTCCAGACACATACCCCATCCTTAGACTCATCACTTAGACCTCCAAGGCTTCTGTAGACAGAAGACACCATAGGGGACCAAAGAAGTTCTGGGAAGCAGCAGGGGCTCCAGCCCCAACCTGGTCACAGAACAGCCCCTCCCCAGTGCATACTCACGAACTTCCCTCCCCTAGAGCTTTTCTTCTGCTTTGAGTTTCTTGTTACTTCAATTGCATGCAACCATTATTAAAGATTGAACACATACTATGGTCCTGGCACTGTGGTAGGTGCCAAGAATTTGAAGAACTTAGTCCCCAGAGACCCTGTTCAACTCCCCAAAATGGCAGCAACTTCCACCCCTCCTCCCACCCGTTTTCAGTCCAGTAGCATCTTCTCAGAGAATTCACGGCACAGCTGAGACCATGACAGGGAAGCCCCTGGGGGACCAAGAGGTGGGGATGTGGCTCTGGAAGAGTGTCTTTGCACAAGCTGACCAGTTTTCCCTAGGAGGAACTGGCTCATCGTGGACCCAGACTTCCCCCTAGTGGTTTCATGTTCACAAGTGACAGTGCAGCCCAGAGGCTGGGCAGTAGTGGACAGCAGCTGTTTTAGATGAGGATTTCTTTGACCATTTTTTTTTTCTTTTACCTGGTCCTGGGCTGGAAGGACAAAGGAGAGGTCCCAGGCATTTCTTTCAGAAAGTTTCCAATCTAGTGGATACAGAAACTTGGGGAAGGCAGGCCTGAGAAGGGATCTCAGTAAAATTTGGTCCTTAAATAGCATCCTTCAGTCCCTTGATCATGCTCCTTTGGGGACTTGGTTGGACATAAACCAGCCTGGCCTTCTTGCACTGTTACCATAGGGGCAGGTTGGGCCCTTCTACCTGCAGAATCCTCTAGGGAAGGGGTATTCACACAGCCCAGATAAGCCAAGCCCAGGGCTCTGGCCTGGAGAGACATGAGTTAAGGCTCTATCATCTGTACCCACCAAAGCAGCACCCTTACTCTCTATTACCCGGAGAAGCCTTTGGGGTAGTCCAGGCAAGGACCTGCAGAAATGCTGCTATACTTCAAGTGCCCCTGCTTCCTTTCTGATCATAACTGGAATATTGCTATTGTTTGGGATAAAAAGATCAGACACTAAGTTGTAAGTCTCAAGTCAATGAAGGAAGAGACCATGAAAACACTTGTATCAAAGCAGTAAAGGTCTATGATTTCTTACTCGTCTCGTAAACATTTTCTTTAATGTTATTTTTACAATTAAAAAAATCAGTGTGGCCTGATCAAGTGGTGGGATGTGCTGATCCCCAGCCTCCACCACTGCATCTCTGGGCCCACTGATCATGACAGCATTTACCTGAAGGTCATCATCAGACCTTGAACTGCTGACAGGTCAGAGACAGTGCCCGTAGCAACCGCCCAGTCGATTCCGATGCACAGAATCACTGCTTCCCCACATCATCTCCCTTAACCTGTCCCACCCTGCGCTGGGCCAGGCTCCTCTGGCCCGCTTGTGTTCTCTGTTCACCACCAGGGGGCGGGGAAGTGCCTGGACTGATTTCCTGGCTCTAGTTATCTTTGGGCACAAAGGGTCCGCCCCTGCTCTCCTCTGAATCTCCTAAGGATGCAAAGCAGCCTTAATGGGAATATAAGTAAAGGAGTGAATGGAGGCTGGGAGGACATTCACCTCCTTGGTAGGAGTTGAGGCAGTGAGCCAGGTACTCCTCCCTTCTTGGAAACCTGATGTTTTGAGGTGCACCTCTGTGGATTAGCATAGGGATAAGATAGCAGAGGACTTGGGAGCACAGGTGCTCCATAGCACTAGTGATGGGGGACACAGCAAGGGGTGAGGAAAGCCAAATGATACTTGGCTCTCCAAGGGAAAGGTGAAAAAAGGATTCTGTGATATAGATTGAATTTAACTGATATCAGTGTAGATGTACACGCCTAGTGGCAACATTGCTAGCACTCTAAAGTTGAGATTTTTATAGTTTTTGTCAATATCACTTGCAAGATTAATCAGTACAGGCTGTGACAATTGTATATCATGTGCTTTTTTTTTCCACTAAGAAAGAAAATAAGTAGGAATTGTCTTTGTCTTAAAATCATTCTGTATTTTTTCCTTTATAAATAAACACTGAAAGTTTGAAAATCAGTGTCCCTTTATACTGTTAATAAATATATAAATAATATAAATACATATTAACTACCTTCAGTGAAACATTTACTTGTTGATTTTTTTTCAATACTGTTGATTCTAACTATATATAAATCTTCACAGTTGTTTTTTAAAATCCTTTTTGAAGTAGCCCTGTGTGTGTGTGTGTGTATTTTCCTGCATTTTTCAGTGAGGTTTTTAAAAATGGAAATGTCCATGAACCTTGCTTATTTTCACAGTAATAACCATATTCTAACCACATCCATGTTAGGTCTTCCCTGTCACAGTAAGAACTTTTATTTAATGATTTCAAATGTTTCAAACAGAATACTGTAGAGAATAAAATAATACACACAGTATAACCACCACTCAGCTTTATCACATCTCAATAGTTGTATTTGCTTCAGGTTTTTCTTTTTAAGAGATGAAACATTATATATGTCCCCCTTCCCGGTTCCATTCTCTTGCTTCTCAAAATAACCACTTCCTAGCTTTTATTTCAAATCTTACTTCCTCTGGAATATCTGATACTTAGCTATGATTTTTCTTCATTGTTAATAAATTCTTTATGGCTCACTTCATAGCAAATTAGGAAGGGATGTTTTGGGAAGCCACTCAGAAAAGCGGTGTGTGTGTGTGTGTATAGATAGACCAGCTGGCAGGCAGACATGGGAAGAGGGACATCTCTGCTGTGCTGATGTGCTGCTGGACTTAAGAGAGGATGTTGGGGGCATCTGGATAATTATTTATTATGAAAGAAGATATTTATTTAAGAGGAAAATATTCAGAGAAAAGTATGCAAATGTTTGTCTATACTCACATAAGTCAGAAATCTGAGTGAAGATATTTATGGAAATCCATCCAGGGGAACAAAAATGCTTTGTCATTTTTTTAAAAAAAAATATTATTTATTTATTTATTTTGGCTGTGCCCGGTCTTCGTTGCGGCACGTGGGATCTTTTCGTTGTGGCATGCCGACTCTTAGTCATGGCATGCATGCAGGATCTAGTTCCCGGACCAGGGATCGAACCCGGGACCCCTGCATTGAGAGCGCAGAGTCTTACCCACTGGACCACCAGGGAAGTCCCTGCTTTGTCATTTTTATGTGCTTGCTGTGTCAGGCGCTGTTATAAGCACTCGATTGGATGTTAGTTTATTTAATCCTCATCCCAACCAGTGAGGTAGGTATCAATATTATCCTCACCTGACAGATAAGGAAACAGACACAGACAGTTTAAATGATTTGTTCATGGTTAGATAGCTAGGCTGAGTCAGGATTTGTGCTCAGGGACTGTGGATCCAAGCTCGCCTAGTTAATTCTAGCTTGTCCTGCGGCCTGCCATCAGCCACAGCCCCAAACTGAACCAGACATCTTCCTGCTCTTGAGCTCCACGTTCAGACAGACACACAGATAAAGCTGGGTACTCAACTATGTCTGGGCTCAATTTCCTCCCACTTTTCAAACTCTTCCTTACAAATGGTTCCTTTCAGCACACACACGTGCACAATCTCCCTTGTCTTTTTTTTTTTTAATTTTTTTTTGGCTGCGTTGGGTCTTCGTTGCTGCACGCGGGCTTTCTCTAGTTGTGGTGAGAGGGGGCTTCTCTTGGTTGCGGTGCGCGGGCTTCTCATTGTGGTGGCTTCTCTTGTAGCGGAGCACAGGCTCTAGGCACGCGGGCATCAGTAGTTGCGGCACACAGGCTCAGTAGTTGTGGCTTGTGGGCTCTAGAGCACAGACTCAGTAGTTGTGGCACACGGGCTTAGTTGCTCCGCGGCATGTGGCATCTTCCCGGACCAGGGCTCAAACCCGTGTCCCCCTGCACTGGCAGGCAGGTTCTTAACCACTGCGCCACCAGGGAAGCCCCATCTCCCTTGTCTTTAAACAAAAACTCTCCAGCCTGCTTTTTCTCAGCCAGGTTGCCTGAACCAACTGCAAGTTTGGCTCCATTTCTCCACTTCTCATTCAGTCCTCATGGCCTCACTGAGGCCAACAATAACCTACATGTTGCCGAGTCAAGGGACATTTCTCAATAATAATGAAAACATTACTTGACCTTTTCTTGTATTTTGAGATTTTGATCACTCCTTTGATATTCATTCTTCCCAGACTTCTTTGACACCATCCTTCCCTGAGTTTTCTCCTACATCTTTCATGATTGTTTCTCAACCTGCATCACTGACTCTTCCAGCAAACTCGCATCCCACAACCAATCATGTTTTTAAGGGTCTGTCCTCTTTCCTCTTCTATACTTTCTTCTCAGTGATCTTGTTTACATACAACCAAATCTTTAACTATATGTATATATCTAGATCTAGATCTATATCCTCTGAGCCCCAAAGTCATCCACTTCATATCACCCGAAGCTCATGTGCCAGACAGAATTCATCACCTTTCTTCACAGCTCCTTACTCTACTCCTATACCACTCTTCTGCCACTCATTTGAGCCAAAATCTGGGAATCATCCTTAATCGCTCCCTATCTGTCACAATTGCCTTCTAATCTGTCACCAAGTCACGCCCACTCTGTATCAATAAATCTTAGAGCCATTTACTCCCCTCCATCTGCACTGTCACCATCTTTTTATAAGCACATAACATCTACCCTGAACTTGGAAGATGCTCCTGATGCACCT